GAGAAGGCTGAGGGGGGATCTTGTGGTCTGTTATAAACTGGTTAGGGGGGGATCAGCAGGCGCTGGGGGAGTCCCTGTTCCCCCGAGCGCCGCAAGGAGTGACCAGGAACAATGGTCACAAGCTGGCGGAGGGAAGGTTTAAGCTGGACATCAGGAGGCGCTACTTCACGGTCAGGGCGGCTAGAGTCTGGAACCAGCTTCCAAGTGAGGTGGTGCAGGCTCCCACCCTGGGGGTTTTTAAGGGGAGGTTGGATGACCACCTTACTGGGGTCGTTTGACCCCAGTGCTCTTCCTGCCATGGCAGGGGGTCAGACTAGATGATCTGCTCAGGTCCCTTCCGACCCTAGAAACTATGAAACCATACATCTTGGCTTCAGCTAGCATAAGGACATGCTTATCAGGAACTGCGAAATATTTTCCATCTAAAAAAACACTTTCTAGTATAATAAATTCTATAATGGTGGCTGCCTATGGTAATTTGCTCTGATCCTGCACAATACTCTACAAGACATGATCCTTTGTCCTCACAGAATAATTTGCATGGCATGGGTCTTGCTTTGCTCCCACACACACTCCTAGAGATTGTTTCCAAGAGACATTAAGAATTGTAGCTTACTGATGGAAATCCTCAACTAAGACATGATTGCTAAGGCCAGGGCTAGTCCCAGCTCTAAAGACATTGAAATCACTGGCCTTAGTGCCCATGATTACCATGGCATTTTTGTTCAGCTGTTTGGAAAGGAGTCCCGGCTGAAAAAGGACTGCTTTCAGTCAAAACTCCTGCTCATAGACTCACATGTCATTTCCAGCAGTCTTGTCCATGTGGTTTGTACTAGCTTCTGATCATTACCATTTTTGTTCTCCCCAGAGTTCTTCTTTGCTTTTAAATGAAAACGCTGCTTTTCAAGAGTCTAGGCAGATCAGCAACAGTTCTGGCAGTCTATGTCAGTCTAGTTTGAATTTAGCCAACATCTCAGTTTGTGTAGTTGTCATCCTCTGAGGTTAAAAAATAGGAACATCACCAGAAAGTGATCACATGCCATTTTTCCCAGAGCTCAGTAGTGAAGAAGATGGAGAATGTACTCACTTTCAGGTATTAATGCTCTGTGAGACCTAATACCACATCCCAACCTTCATAATTGCAATGCCCAAATCAGACCGCAAAGAAACACTTTACACAGTCTCTGCATCACCTCATCCCACAGAACACCCACGCAGGAGAGTGCAGAGCCCCACAGGTTTTCTTTTCTTTTTCTCCTATTTCAAATCCACAGAAGTTAAGAGAGTGACCATTTCTAGGTTCGTAGTCTCAACAAGTCACATAACTCTCACCTGGGTGCTTCATTCAGATCCCAAGCAGCATCAAAATCATAATCGCCATCTTCTCTTACTCATTCTAGGTTTTATTTCTTACCTGCAGTTAACATGCTCAGATGAGAATAATGGATGAGAAACTGCAGTTGGCACCAATTACCCTCATACTAAAGTTCAAACAGCACTGCTGATTGCAGCACAAGTGTCTGCTTGGAAAATACTCACTAAACTTTATCGGAGCTTTACCTTTTTGGTATAAACTAAATGCCAGCCCCTCCACAGCATTCAACCACTTAATTTCCTTGGTTTTCTCTTAAGATATCACTGTTCTGAGAATGAAAGTGGGGAGAAACGGCAGACAAAAATCAGGGAAAATTAATTAAGCCTTTTGGTCAGTTATCAGTTTCACTTGATTTGAAACCAAGATCTGAGGGGTAGAGAATATCCAGATCTTGCTTATGTTACAAGAGGTGGGAAAGACCAGATTATAAAATGGCTGATAGGAATGAAGCCTGAGTATGTTGGAGAGATGTATAACAGACCACAGTCCGCCTGTTTTAAGAAGGAACAGGCACATCAACAGAGAGACTTGGGTAAAAAATGAGAGCATAGAAAATTAACAGATCAGCTCTGATACTACACAGGAACTAAGAGGGGAAAAAAACCTGCATCAGAAGGAAGGGTTAGGAACAGGAAGTGCTTGACTGAAGATTGAGTGCTTGGCAGTGAAACTACAAAAATCCCTAAAATGGAAAGGAAAAAAGTGGTGGCTTAGACCATAAAGGATTCTACCAGGCTTGATCAGGGCTAGAAGACCCTTACATTTTATTTTCAAATGAACCAAGAGACAAGCAAGTACATGGGCTGGTGCTTGAAACCCTCTTCCCAAATCTATTCCTAGTAGAAACCCCAAATCTAGGAAACAGAGAATCAGCTGAAAGCTCCCAGTCTACTAGGAACTCTAGTCCATTTAGCTGAACTGCAGGGCACTGAAATCCCAACAATGGGTGCTGGTAGAAACTTCTGAGAAGGCCAGGTTTGGTGGCTTCAGGTGCAACAGATATTGAAATATGCTGCTTTCCTGCCATTCTATGAATTCTCTTCATGGTGAAATAATCTGAAGAAATGGGTTGATGGATTAATCTGGACAGGGAACATTATGTTCCTAAATGGCAAAGGCAAAAATAACTTTGAGGGCTAGAAGGAGCAGAATTTGCATTGTTCCATCCCTACCCTAATCCCATCCCCAAAGCCACATGTGTACAGTTAGTTAGAGCTAGCCATCTATGGAGCAAGCCACTGGCTGTGAGATCTTGAGATAGTCTGCAGATCCTCATTCAACATGAACAAAGGTGTGAGCTCTTGGAGGGACTCTGATCCTGTGGGGTGATCTGTATGTCAACATCAAGTCCATTTTAATTCTGTCTTGCACTAATCGGGGCCAGATTTGGAGCGAGGCCTCCTACGTTCTAGACTGGATGCAACCTGTACGTAACAGGAAGACAGCAGCATGACCAACTTGTAATAAATTCAGACAGGATAAACCAGCTGCTGTGTTTGCAGAAAACTTTCGAATGTTTCCCTCCCTGTTCTGGGAGGGGATCAGGGTGGAAAGCAGTGGAAAAGCCAAACAAGATAAAAGAAACAAAAAGTGAAGAACAGGGAGCAGAAGCAACAATAGGGGATCCAGTGTTTGCCAAAGGGGTTTTCATACAAACTCCTTTGGCCTGTGCCGCTACGCATACATGTGACTTGGTATTTGCCTCCACTGACCCTGTGCTGTACAAAGTTTTTTCTTTGTCAGCTAGACTGATTGCTGAAATGGTTTTGTTTCCAGGTGGAATCGAGACCTTTGACGTTCTGGTCCTCAATGAACTATAACTTAGAACTTCAAGTTGCGGTGATCTGGAATTACAGCTTCTAAATATCTACACCACGGAGAGCAAGAAACCTTCCAAATGGCAAAGCACTGCAAGATAAATGATCAAGATTCAGCATTAATTGCTTTCTAAGCAGTACTTACGCAAGTCAAGATGTGTGCTTGGCAGAGTTATAAATTAGCTTTTGTCTGATCTGGTCAGTCACTAGACTGAGAAGATTTTAAATTCCTGAAGAGTACCTGATGCATGAGAAACACCTTGGAAACAGAGACAGGACCTCAGTTCACATCACACGGAGCAGGAGGAACTGTTCTGAGGTGTATGCGTGGAGTATTTTATTTAGAGTTTATGCAGTTCCCTTTAAAATAGAACTTTATGCATGCCAGGCCCCCTGGATACTTTGCTGAGCACTTTGTTCTGTAACCCCAAGGCCTTGTGTTTTCGAGGCAGGGCAAAGATGACACCTTGATCAACACTGGCTTCACAATGAGAAGCATAGTAAGTAATGCACTGTGAAAAATTCTGGCTGGATTCCTCCACCAGGCTGTTGCGTGGGGCAGACTCTCTCAAGGATGCCAACAAGGTGGACCTTCTGGCTACAGTTTAACCCTTTCGAAAGCATGTGCCAGGAAATAGGTGCACAGGAATAGGTTTAGCATAGTTTTTCAACACTCCACTGCTATTTTATAACAAGAGAAACAGCACATTCAGAAACATTCGGGATGCAATGCCCCCTGTTCTAGCTCACAGTCCTTAAGATTCAATCTTTTCACCATGTCATCAGGTGCCTGTGAAACTGCCTTCCACTTGAGCTAGTGGAAACCCGACTCTCCTGATACCTGAAGACAGGGTGTTTGTGCCCAAAAGCTAGCAAAGAACACTTTTTCCATCTATTTAGTTGGTCTAATAAAAGACATCACATCTACCCTGAGAACCTTGTCTGGAAAAGGATGAAGATATTTCCTTCATCTTTGTGGGGCTTCTCACTGTTTATTTACCCCCTTCTAACACCTGGCTTCTGTTAAGCTTCTGATAACTTTCCATTGCTCCAAACCCAGCTTGCTAGCCTAGGCCTCAGGTCCACCATCCCCAGCTGTAACAAGACCTGTGTGGTGGATATAGGGGGATCCAAATTGATAGAGGGATTCATGAGATGATTTGACTTTATCGGGATGTGAACTCAAGGTGCTTGTTCACCCTACAGAAATTAGCAAGTTGGCTAGAACTGATTTAAGCAGAGATCATGACTTTCAGACTAGCCAGGCTGAAACTTTTAAAGAAACAACACACCTCTTCCACACCAATACTTTTCTAAGCCATTGCAATGCAGCCTGGGTACCTCTCTGGCAGCTTACATCACACCTCCCCTACCAGGTTCTGAAAGATAGCAAGAGGCCCCTGTACACTGTGGGGAGGCAGTAGGAGGACTAAAGTGACCATTTCAGTGTCTCCATCTTCACACAAGTAACAGAACTACTTAGTCCAAATAGATTCTCATGCTTATTAAAAGCAAGTCTAATCCCAGTGATTCCCAGAATGCAAACGCTTGCAAACTCTTTTGAAGCTCTTTGCATGTAGGCCCAGGTATTTTTATAAGCATTATAGGAACTATGATGAGGCTTGCCATAATAGATTTTCAAGGGTTGCAGGCTGAGCAATGGGGAATACACTGCACAGAAATTAGTTACACAAAGTTTCATTTTCAGCTGTTCTTGAGGAAGGCAGGATATACTCACACACACACACACACACACACACTTTAAGCAGACCCATACTGGCACCAAAGTGTAAACATTACGTTGGTCTATTAAGACAAGAACATCTCAGCATTTTAATTAGAATATGTAGAGGCCATAAAGCTTGTTCCATTTAATGTAAGTTTCAAGTACTTATCAATTTGTTAAATGCATACAATTATGTACAGCCATGTCTTTACTAAAATCCATGTTCATTATCAAATATTAAGTTACCAGAAGTTGACACTAATTAAAAAATAACCCCATTAATATATATATATAGCACAATATTTTACTTGGAATATAAAGGCCTTTGTGAAGTGTTTTGTATAGTTGCAGTCTTGTTAATCCTCCTTTTGGTCCTGTCTTATTGTGATTTAATTCAATGCGTAGTTAAACTGGTTTGCAAACTTCTCATGCTTTTTTCCGTCCATTCGATTCATTGCTTTCACCACTCGCTTCATAGCCTCTCTGTAAAAAGAAAGCAAGACATTAAAATAGAGCTAAGTTGATTCTACGTGCACAGTCACGGGGAATGTTTATGACTGTTAGCAAAAAAAAAAAAAAAAGAAAAAAAATAAAAATGGAAGGAGCTATGATTAATCACTAATCAGGCCTCTGAACACTGCACTGATGAGGCTGAACAAATTTGTCATGTTAACCAAATTAGCTGCAGCAATACAAATAGTTTTAATTCAGCAATGATTTTATTAACAGGAGTAAACAAATTAAAGTCTTTTTTCAGTTTAATGGCTCTACACTCCGCCTTCCCCACACTGTCCTTAGCAGCCAAACATTTGAAGTGGGATTTTCAAAAGCATCTAAATGTCTAAAGAGCACAAGTCTGATGGAAAAAGTTACATGAACTAAGCTTCCAAACCACTTTTGGAAAAATCCCACCCTCGAAATTTTATGAAGCATTTCTTACGAAAGAAAAAGATAATGTGAGACAAGGCTTTCTGGCAGACAACAAAAAAAAGCTTCAGGGTGTGGGTTTTTGTTTTTAACCAAAAAGACACTTACTGTAAATTGGATACATCTGAACTCAAAACTAGTGATTTCACATATGCCTTTTAATGGGCTTATTCTTCAATTCAAATGGCTATAACAAGATACTTGGAGCAGTTACATCCCAAAGATTTATTCACCAACTACCTAAATAAGACTTTCTTTTTGCCATGCCCATCCATACCTCCATTTCTGGGATAGACACAGCAGCTGTTGAATCTACACACACTACAAGATACAGTGAAAGTGGAGAATACCATGTAACTTCATTTAGCAGGGCAGATGCAGGAAGGTGGAACAGAAAATTAATCACAACCCAGTGTAACCAGGACTTAAGAGCTAACACTGGGCACTTGGTAGAAGTGAAATGCGATCTTTAATGATTAGTAGTGGCCAGAACTGACATCTCCTTCCTTGAGTGGTGCCTGCTGTGCAGAGAGACTTCCACCAAAAGGAATCCACTTTCTGAAAGGGAGGTGCAGAAAGAACAAACTTGGACTTCCCTAAACATCTGCTAGCTCTAACCAGGGCAAGGGGCTCTGAGGTTGCTGCTCTTGCTTCTGCTGTGGAGGGTAGATTAAGGTTTCCCCTCTTCCTGTGGCTACTTTTTCAGCTGGGGAAGTGAAAATCCCAATATCCCCCAGCCAATTCTCTTGTAACCCCTGGAACAGAGCCTAGCATGTGGAGGGGTGGGGGAATGGTGAACATGGGTCCCCCTATGAACCCCACCTAGGAGAACAGCAGGATTGGGGTGGCAGCAGCAGGACCTCACAACGTGGTGGGGACTGCTACCACTATAAATTTGACTAGGGGAGGAAGAGATATGGTTTAACTTGCTTTAAGGTTAGTAAAGCCAGGTAAGGTGAATGGGACAGACAAACTGTGCTCTGAGCACACATACTGTGGCAGGCCCAATACTCAGATACGTGTGTGCTACATATAGAAGCCATGCTCTACCAGAGTCTGGAGTTCCCCCCTCCATTGATCGCTTTTGATACCAACAGCTAGGGTGCTGAGGGATGCTGCTTTCCCATTTTTGCGTACATACACACGTGGTGGAGTGTCATACTAGTGACCATGGAGAGCAGAATGAAGGAAGGAAACTGAGGAGAATGTTACAACTGCTTGAGCATATGGCAACCTTTGTTTCCTCCGTTGGAGAACGTGTTAGGGGTAATTTGAAGATTCATTCTTTGTAAGCTTATTGGACAGAAAACCTCAGCTTCAGAGCTATCAGATGTCTGGAACTGTGTCCTTCCACCTCCCAGCCCAGCTCTCTTTACAAAGAGAGGAATTTTTTCCTATTCCACAAAGCCCTAAAGTTCTGCTCAGCTGGGGAGTGCACAGGCAAAGAGCTCCATCCATTTCAAAAAATGGTGCTGATTCTAGCTGCCCACAATTTTACTAGAGAAATCTGGCTCTCGGAGGTCTCTGCCTTGCACCATGTGGCTGATAACAGACTGAAGCAATTACTATATGTCAGGACCCAGATATCCTCAGACTTCATTTCTGAATCAGTGGTGGCCATAGCTGCAAATGTCTGGCCTGCAACGTAGTCAGCAGACAGAGGATGCTGACCACCTAGCATGATCAAGGTCTTCATGCTTTTCAGCTTGGGCTGTTATAGTGATAGCAAAGTGCTGTAAGCAGCACTCCGGCTCCCTCAACATAAGTAACTGCTCCCTGAAACTTTCCCTCCAAAAGCTATTTTGAAACATCTAAAACCAGAGGAACCTTCCCATAATGCTTTTAAATGAATGAATTAAAGCTTTCCTTGGCACCAGTTACAAGAAATGTCAATATTCTGAAAAACACATTGGAAGTGGTGTCCCTTTAATAAAAACTCTGCTAGAAAAATTAACAGGGATATTGTAGCTCTGGTTTTGTCAAAATGAGGAAAACATGGTCATGGTTTTGCACTTCAAATATTATCTAATTGGTAGGAGAAAAGTGAGCCTTTAGCACAGTGCACAGTGGCCTTGACACTTTCATGTCATGTAGGTTTTACATTAGCACCACTGGGTTGTGTGATACTGTAAATGAAATGAGATCCCACTCTGATGATCTGTGTGCAATTTCACTTAACTTTATTGGCAGACCAGAGCCTGGGTTTATCACCTGTACATTTCAAGTAATTTGGGGTTGTTATAAAGAGCCAAGGTTATCATCTTGTTTAGTGCTGCAAACCATGAGACCTATTAAAACATGACAGGTTTGATTCCCCACACCTGGCACTAACACACACTCAAAATCATTAGCACAAAGCATAGTAAACCAAAAACAGCTTTTTAAATTTATTTTCTAAAGGCTGATGTGAAATTCTGATTATTAGAACTTTATGACTTATTGACTCCTCTGACTACGATCAGATGATATGAGAATTTCACAGAACATGCAATATTTTGTGACCAAAAACAACGTGGATTTTTTTTAACTGGTAACAACCATTACATCAGACAAGGGAAAATATAGTTTTGAAACAAATATTATCCCAAGGATGCTCTTTGACTAGTTCAGTCAGGTTCTTGGGATGTAATCAAGCCTCCATGATTGCTTAGGAAACACTAAATAGTTCACTTTTTGATTTGTTGACTTGTTTATGCTGTTCCACTCATTTTGGTCATACTACTTATACCATTGGCCATGTGTAGGGGGTGAATGCAGGTGCACGTGCACCCCCTGAGATCAGCTGTGCACCTCCTGGAAGGGCCAGCTGTGAAACTGGAAGAGCACTTCTGATTTTGCTGCTGGCTTGGTGATTGGCCACTGAGGGACTCCCCCCCCCAGTTGGTGATCTGCTGCTGCTGGGAGATACCCCTCCTCCCCCTTCAGCCATCTGGTGCCCCACCAGGACTTGGGAGGCACTAGTCGCCCATGACTTATACTGTTTGAAATTTTCCACAAAGTGCCATGAGATACAGCAATCCCTCAGACCCAAAAGACATTTGCTGTTGGGTCCCGGGGTTGGGGGATCAAGATGCAAGTTTAGAGTGGCTGAGAGTCTGCAGCCACTCCCTTAGCATTGCCCAGCGCTGTCTTCAGAATGGGAGGGGAGGGGAGGGAGTTCAGTCTGGGGCTGGCCCAGCCAAGGCTGGATGGTGGGGTGGGTGTCTCCACCGCTGGCTGGGCAAACCCAACCAAATTCCATCTGCTCCCTTCCTCTGCTCCCATTCTGTGTCAACCCAGTCCTACTCCTAGCATGCGCTGATACAAGTTAATGAAGGTGCTCTGCTTTGGAGCATCTTCATCTGAACTCTCATGTAATGAGGGTTCAGTCTGTTGCAAAATCGAGCCCTTTTAAAGTGCTCTGCAGCCACTTGTATCAGCACCCCGAGAGCCAAGCTGGGTTCCCTTTTGTTCTGGTCATTACTGCCAGTAACAAATATTCTTAAACCAGAGTTCAGCTTCTTATTCCCTTGACACATGTACGTAAGCATAGGTAAATAGGCTCCAGCAAACTCCTCTGTAGATGCAAAGGTTCAAATAAGGCCAACAAGAGTAAACGATAGTACCATTACTTTTGTCAGGGCACGCAGCAGATAGGATTCTAAGTATGTACTGGCAAACCACACTACAACTAAAATGGGATAGTTACTGTGCCTGATGTTAGCTGCTTCCTTCAGCAACCTGAATATCAATGCATAAAAACAGAAAGAGGCCACTTCTTGTTCCACACTATATCCATTTGAGAGACTGAATTCCCAGCATCTGCTTCTTTCACAGCTAGGGGTTTAGGGAAGCAGAACAATAAATCAATGTTTTAGACTTTACTATTGGTCCACCAAATCTCCTAATCTATAAGTGTCACCATTTCTGAAACATGAAACCAAAGCTATAAAAATGTATCCTGTGTCATTTTAAGTGTCCTCTTTTTCCCTTTTCTCAATCCCTGTACTTTGTGCTCACATATACAAGCTTTCACCTGTTACCAAGGAAGCAGCCACAACTGCACAGGTAGGTTCAAGGAAAACAAACAGAAGACTAAATATCCTTTAAGCACAGTTTTATGAATTCCAGTTTCGAAGCACTTCCTCAGGTGCGACCCTGTTCATCAATACGTTACTGCCCTTTGCTCCATCCTGTCAAACAAAAACACTACCACGCTATAGTTACTTTTGACGGCCATTTCCATGTCACTTGCTCAGGTGGAAACAGCAACTAAAATAAAATAAAGCACTGGAGAGGGGTTGAGGGGCTTCAGATAAGGTGACCAGCTTACTTGTTGAAGACTTTTTTCTCAAGCCGGGAACGAGATGTGTTAGCCTGCTGTTTCAAGTCAGTCAGATTTGGGTATTTCTTCTTTTTTCCTTTCTTTTTCCCTTTTCCACTGTATCTAGAAGATCCAAGATCCACTCCAACAGCTGCTTCAACCTCTCTCATAAATTCTGGGTCTTGCCATTCTATTGAAAGGGAAAAAGAAAAACAAATGTTTTAAGCCTTAGACAATCCCAGTTAATGCAAGTTGCCTGGAGTATTAAAGCCTGTTCACTCTGAGGGCAAAACCACGTTACAGCAAGGATTTTTATGTAGAAACCATATTATCTGATACTAATAGGGGTAAGAGAGCTACTCTACAGCAGAGATCTCTAAGAAAAAAATCATGACCACACTGGTGAAGGGGGATCCTGTTATAGTCCTACTAGTATCAACTGCTGTGGTTCATACGGTTTCATATAAAGTCATTAGGCATGTTGAGTCAACTTATAACACCACAGCAGCAGAATCCCTGGAAGTACTTCACCTGGCAGAGGTGGCCTAAATAATCTTGCTAAGTGCATACGACACAGACCCTCTGGGTTGAGGAGTCTATAAACTAGAGTAAATTTTGGAAAAATGAAGTTGAAAAAAAAAAAAAAAGTGCAGTTAATACCTTCCAAGGGACATTCTACGTGGGAAAGTCTTCCCTTTTAAAACACCTCAACCTCACCAATTTAATTGCTCAAATCCAAGTTTTTACTAAGCAAAATCTTTAAGTTTGAGAGCTGGAATTCACGCTATCAGTTCCAACTTCAGATGCCAACTTAAGGACAAAGTACAGACACAATACTTTGGGGAAGTCCATTTTTGGTACAGTTCCTACCACAATAAAGCCTCTCACATTGAGTGAAGGAATGGATGTTACTGTGATAGTAAGTAGGCTTATTTTACTGGTCAAAGCAGGAGGAAATACTATTCAATTTGCCTTAAAATAGAAAAATCAATCTGCATGCATTTTCAAAAAGGGTATAAATACTCACACACACATATACACCCCCCCCCTCCAATCTCTCTCTCTGTGTGAGAGAGAGGGAATGTACACACACACACACACACACACACACACACACACACACACACACACGCACTACCTGAACTATTTTTAAATAGATTATAGGTTAGGAAAATATAATTGGAAGTGCCACTCTGAAAGGTGATATTGTCTACTAAAATGTTAGAAGCCTAGAACTGGTTCTAATGTCTCCCTGTCAATAACCTGTCATGTAGACTCATGCATTTTACTTAACTTTTATAACCAATGCCTTCATTCACAAAACGGGGATAGTAAATTTGCCAGGGTGCTGCTAGGCTTACTAAACCTATAATTTCACTTGTATAGCAAAAACCGATCATAGGCTGGGGCAGAGCTGTAGGTTGTAGTGTTTCAGGTAGGTCAGAGGCTATTCCACTTAGCAGTCCTAAAAAGATACTGTTTAGGAGTATTAACACATCTCTTCAGGGAAAGGCTGGATCTAACCTATTAGTTTTATATACGAAAATAAGAGCAAGATTAAAATTAGGCACAGACAAAGGGATAGGGAAAATGGAGCTGTGTTATGAACTGAGAAGGGGAACTATAAAGGGAGAAAAAAAGAACACGCACTTGATAAATCACGCGATTTCACAGAGTTTATTTTTTTGAAGTGAAGGAATACAGAGCAGCACAATTCAGATACAGGAACGATTAATCCAAGATTAAGGAAAACTGTCTAAACAGTTTATCTCCCAGTAATAAGAAGGCGTCACAGTTTAGGAACCCAGTGAATGGAGCAATTGTTTAAACACAACGAAAAAATGCCGGCATCCAGTAGAGATGAAATGAGCATTTGAGTAAAATGAAGGAGCAATTTAAAAGCCTTTGAGAAAAATCAATAGAATGCCAGGGAAGAGCAGCCTTTTTGAGCATTGATGGGCCCCTAAAGCTCTTCATACATTGTTACTGAGTTTAGCAGCAGGGAAAAGAAAATTACACAGTTTGCAAGGGTAGGCGGGAATCAATACTGTAGTTAGTAAAGAGATGCTATTTCACATCTGACTGGCCAGCGGCCTGCCTTCACCAGCTTGTCCTGATACCTGTTTGTTAACAAGTCACTAAGGGCTGAAAAACCAGATACTCTTCAGGGTTGACACAAAAAATAGGCACTTAATTTGCTCCTGTGTGCGAACTATTGGAAAAGGATGAACACTGCAGATTAGCAGGTCAGTGTAATCCCTCATGATTCATTGTTTCAGGGCCAAAGAGCCTAAAGCACCATTTTGTGGACAACTGGCTAGAATCTAATATTTTATAGTAAGTATCAAGTAAAAAAAAATGAAACTTGATAATTATTAAAAGAAAAGTTCAGCAGTGACAGTATCGCCAAGACATACTTCAGTCATATATAGCATGAAATGTATTTCTTTTGCATAACTGTTTTTCCATTCAGTAACATAGAGATGAAAATTTAATCTTCCTTGTGACCTGAGCTGGCCTAAAGTTTGGGCAAGAACTATCAATTAATAATAAGAGAGAGCTTCTTTGCATTATCCATTAGAAATTCATGCACTTAAAAATCAGGAATAGTAAACATTAATTAAAGTCTACATACATTTATACTTAAAGGAACTAGACTGACTCCTTCAGGTAGGAAAGCTTTGACCTCACTAAAGCTTTAGTCTCTGTTAGCTGAGAAGTGTTGTGAAGGATCCTTCTGAAGTATGGATGCCTACTGAAATTTGTCACTATTCTCTGCCTGCTCCATGACAGTATGAGAGCGGTGGTTCTCAGTAATGGATCTATCACAGATCCCTCTGAGGTTAAAAAAAAAAGGAGTTAAGCAAGGCTGCGTCACTGCTCCAACACTCTTCTCAATATTCCTTACCATGATGCTACATCTGACCACCAACAAGCTTCCAGGTGGAGTGGAGCTAAACTACTGAATGGATGGCAAGCTGTTTAACCTCAGCCAACTCTGAGCCAAAACCAAGCCCACCCCAACAATCACTGAGCTCCCGTAGGCTGACGATGCTGTAGTATGTGCTCACTTGGAAGCAGACCTTCAGGCAATTGCTGACATCTTTACCAAGGAATGCAAGAAAATAGGACTGATGCCTAACATTCAGAAAACTAAGGTCCTCTACCAACAAGTTCCTTATGAACAGTCCCCAGCTCCAGTAATCCAGATCCACAGCGAGACTCCAGAGAACGTTGAGTATTTCTTGTACCTCAGAAGCCATCTCTCGCAGAAGGCTGACATCGATGCAGAAATCCAACTTGACCTCAAATGTGCAAGTCTGGTGTTTGGACACAAGAATAAACGGGTATTCGAAGATCATGACATCAGATGTTTATCATAATCTCCACCTTGCTCATGGTTTATCATGATCTCCACCTTGCTCTACAGAGCCGAGACATGGACAACGTACAGGAGACATCTAAGGTTGTTGGACAAGTACCATCAGTGCTGCCTGAGGAAGATCCTCTGAGTTCCGTGGGAAGAGATGCACCAGTGTTAGCGTCCTCCTGCAACCACACCGTGAGTATCAAGGTGACGATCATCTGACATCAACTTTATTGGGCTGGCCCTGTCATGCACATGTCCGACTTCAGACTCCTGAAGCAAGTTTTATTCCCCCAGCTCAGCCAAGGCGTACGCTCAAGGGGAGGGCAGAGAAAGTACTTCAGGGTTGTCCGCAAGGCTAACTTAAAAAAATGCAACATTGATGTCAGCTCGTGGGAGACTTATCGCCCAGCACTGCCCCAAATGGAGGAAAAGTCTACTGAAGGTATCTCAGTACTTTGAAACCTGGTGACAACAACAAGAGATGGAAAAACAGGAGTGGCAGAAACAGGGAGTCGCAGACCAAATGAAGAATCCAGCGCCACCCACCCTACACGGAAACCCACGTCCAAGCTGCAGTAGAGTTTGTCAATCCTAGATAGGCCGCCTCACCCATCTTCGGACACACAGATAAGACAATCACGGAAGAGAATCATCCCCGACAGAGGGATTGCCAAAGAAGATTACAATGACATGCAAAGTTATATTACAGATATCCTAGAAAGGAATACATTTTATACTTAAGAGAAAAAGATCAGTTATTTGGCAAAGGAATGAGTGTGCAAATGTTCCTTTAGAACAGTTACAGTATGTTATCTTGGCTCGAAACGGTAGCTTTTATACACACCCACCACTCGTTCTTTACAGGCTCACAAGACTAGACAGGACACAAACAAGGTTATTGAGGGGTTATCACGGTGTCTTTCCACCACAAACTGCTGTGGTACGTAACCAAAATACCTCCTATGCTCCCACTTCCTAATGCAGTTCAGTGACTGCACGCTTCATCATTAGGACTTATCCCTAGGTTTCCACATGTGGAATGCCATTGCTAGGTCACAAGAACAAAGCATATGCAGGACAGGTGGTTCTTATAGCAGTCCCTCATCTGACTTGACTTACGAACAGGGATCTTGGTTTTCTCTGATAAAAACAATCCCCAATTTTCGGCTTAAAAAAAGTAATCTAAAATCCACATTTTTCCATGATTAAAATGAAACACCACTATATATCCATCTATTAGTGGTGTTTCATTTTAAAATCACAGAAAAGTGTGGATTTTGGGTTACTTTTTTAAACCTGAAAATTGGGAATTTTTTTTAAATCGGAGAAAACCAGGATCCCTGCTTATATTTCCACACACTCAGTATAACTACACTGACCCACCTGGTGACAGTATGACAAGTCTCTTGCAAGTGCTTTGAAGAAAAACATCACTGATGTTTTGAATACTGATTAAAACAGCAAAAGAGATCATGATTGTAAAGGATTTAGCCATGAAAGGTTAGTGGAGAAATAGACTCAATTTTAGTTAACGTGCAGACAGATGCTAGACACTTTCTTTAAATTAAATACACTGAAGTTCTGGCTAAGGAATCAAGTGCAATAAGTTCTTTAGCTTTTCCCTAGATAGGCAGAAAGGAGACATCTTTGTACGGCATCTTAGCTTAAGGAGAGCACTCAGCGACACAGCAATGTCAACACTAGCTTGGGACTTGCATGCACATACTTCTGGGCCAAAGGTGAACATCTCCCTAACAGCACCACTTTGACACTGCAGCAAGAATAAGTATCGTGCCTAGCCTAGAGGAATGTCAACTTCACAGAATAAAGAAAATAATCACTAGTTTTTGGTGCGAGTGATTTTTACACCAGAGCATTGGGTTCTGTGTCTATAGTTTAAGCAGCCCCTTCTGCCCCCAAAGAATAAGTACTCATTCAGTTCCCTCAGTCTGTTGCATTGGCAGAACTAATGGAAGTCTGAAACACTTTTTTTTTAAAGCAAAATGACTACACTTTTGGCATGCACAAGTCTAGGCTACTGTTTATATTCAAAAACACTTTTTTGGATGACAAAGATGAGCAAATACTCACATTTATACTCTGAAGAGAGATTTCCTGGGAAGGCTGGCAGCCAAATTAACTATATATAAAACTAAGAAGCCATGCCTGCTGGGAGTTCTGGATTAGGTTAAAATAAAATGCCAATAATAGCAAGGATGAACTAGGAATATGGATAAGACAATTCTTTCCAGCTTGAGGGTGCTTTCAGGTGATAATAATTCCTTACGACTTCTCTTTCTGAAGCGGGTAATAATATTACTGTGTGGACATGGGGAATACCAAATTCCTGTCCCAAGACACTGCAAACATTCCGCCAGGATTCCTGATACCACCAACTCAGATAATGTAGTGATATGATCACATACTGTACCTGACTGGAAATGTTAGCTGGCTTTCCTCAGAAATACAGAAACAACTCCCATTAAGCATTTCCCAGGAACTTGACTGAACTGTCCTTTAAAGTGTAAGCTGTCATGTTGCAGGTCTGATCTTGTCTATTTGGGAAGTGAAGTGTTTAGGATCCTAGGGGTGTGACCCGACAAGTGTGCACGTGTGCTCTGCAGTGCCTCAAACCCATTTGAAGTGCCGCAAGCCACACGCAACACATGTGCATCTATTCACCACACTAATTTGCAGTGCAGTGGTTTTTTTTGACACTGGGAGTTCCCCCTTACCTTCTGCTCCAGTTCCAGTCCCTCCAGACCTGATCCTGACTGGCTGCCGGTTCTCCCTGCCTGGGCTGAGGCTGGGCAGGGGCTGCCACTGCTCCTGACTGCTCTGAAACAGAGCTTTAGCAGAGGATAAGGGGAGGCAGGGAGTAGGAGGGCAGAGAGAGGCAAGGGTGGCGGGGCAGGTTGCATGGGGGAGAGCAGGGGGAGGCATGGAGTGGGATGGCAGGGAGTGTGGGGGGAGGGGGAAACAAGGGGCAGAAGTCTGGTCTCTTGCCGCTTGCCACTGCTTTCCCCCATCACAGAAGGGGGGTGGGGGAAGAGACAGATTTAAGATGACCATCATTAATTAGATTCTACACATGGAAGATTAAAACAAAATTTATAATGTATAGAATCTAGTTATTGGGAGAGTAGTCTTACATTTTAAGTCATCTTGGTTTGGGTAAATACGGTAATTCTTTGTACAGAATTTTCTGCCTCTTTTAAAAAAAATAAATAAATCCCAAACCATAAATTCCACAATGTTGCATTGCTGCATGTGTCAGCAACAGGACTGGAACCCAGGACCTTTAAGCCCACAATAGCAACTCTGAAGCTACTGGCACCATTGCCTATGTGGACCACAGTCATTGGTTTGGGGAGGAACACATGATGCACTTCAACCAATATTTGCTCTACAACAGAAATACAAGAGAAAGTTAGGAACAGACTCTTCGTTCTGCTCCTGGTGTTGCAGGATCGTCTATCAACCACATATATTTGGCATGCTGCAACCCACATTAAGAAAGGATGAGGAAGCCAGATATGTTTAATTTTGGAAACCAAGGGGGACATAGTAACAGTTTTTAAGTATTTGGCATGCTGCCATAAATCAGAGTCAGAACAACTGATCTCCCTTGCCACAGAGGACAGGACACAAAGCAGTGGCTTTTAAATCAGACTTAAGTTAGATCTAAGGAAAGACTTCCTAAATTTTGTAAGAACAGTAGAAGTCTAGGGAACAGGCTGCCTCAGGGAAGCTCGATCATTGGAGAGTCTCAAGAGGGAGGATAAGCATTTATCTGGGGTGGTTTGGGAACAGTTAAGTCCTGCATATGTGCAGGGGGTTGGACTCGACGACTCTGGACCAGAGCTCCAACCCACGGGACTTGGGAAGTCCTGAGACCCCTGGGGGGTCCCTCCCAACCCAATGATTCTGTGATTCACTCAGAAAGTCAATATGGCTCAAGTATAAGAGATTGGGGTTCTCTTCCCAACTCTGCTAAAAGTGACCACATGCAGCTTTTCACCACAGGACTCCTAATGTAGCAGCTTGCTCAACAGGAAGGGCTAAAATGTGCAGACAATTACTGACACCAGTCAACAGAAGAGTTGAGAAACGAACTCCTGATCTCCCGATGCAGCAGCAAAGGAGGAGCTGCTTTGAACACTGCTGTCAGCCCCCCTCCCCTTCTTAATCCACAGTTCCAGAGGTGGACCCACCATGCACCCATTACTGTGGGGTAGAGGGAGTTCTGTCAGGTTGGAAAATTTTTAGCACCTTCTATCAAGCTCACAGCACGTGCAAACAGGCCTGGGAAAGAGCTCTGCCAAATAAGGGTACATTTTTATGGGGATAGCAAAAAGTCTCTGATCCCAGAACCATCTACATGGCAAATCAATCCAAATTCCTGCTCCAAACCCATAAAGGGAAAGAGCTTCAATCATTTTGACTGGGGTGAATACAGCACCAGCAAAACTTTTTTTTGCACAATCTTTTCTTTTTTTTCCAGAGAAAAATCACTGAATGTTATTTTCTGAAGCCTTCCAAAAATTTCAAACCTGAAGCAGACAGTAAATAGGGGACATTTCAGCCCAAATGATTACACAACTGCAAGAGAGGGATTAAGAGAACCTATGAAAGACCCACCACATTCTGTCCTGACAGAAAGAATGATTCATTCTTCCTTATCCTCAGTTCCCTCGCTCTCCAGGTAAGCGGACATCTGACTCAAAGTGTGTGTTCCCTTCCACCCGTCTTCAGATAAGCCACAGGCTCTGCTTAAGCCAGCCTTTCCGACCACGCCAGAATATGGGTAGGGACTCAGGCACAGCCAGGCATTGAAGGTATCCAGCCTCGTCATAGACGTCATAGACTCAGTTTCCCCATCAGCACAGTGTCAGCGGGAACTGCCAGACTAGCAGGTTTCAGAGCTGACATGTCACTGAGTTCAGGGGATTAATTCTCTGCTCTTAAAAGCTATTGTTCAGAGCTCTACAGGATGAGGTGGTCGCTTCTGCACTGCTTGCACTCAGGTGACATTTTCAACACCTTCCTCACAACTGCAAGGAGTAGAAAAAGTTTTGTTTAAATGAAAGCTGAAGTCTTACACACTGTGATGGTGTCTGTGCCCTAATCCATCCCTAAATGAAAAATTCATGCAGGCATACCGGAGCTAGCTTGTGTGCTGACAGCAGTGTCACTGTGGAGATGCTGGCTTCAGCCACTAGGCACATACCCAGCTTCCTAGGAAAGCTTGTATAACTTCCACTACTGCACACAGATAGCTGTTGGTACCCATGCTAGCTAATTTATAGCTAACCTGGGCATGTCTGCATGTTTTGCAATCACACTTTTGGACTGCAGGGTAGACATCCCTTTAGCTAACAGTCTTGTTTTCCGTGAGTTGTGACCAGTTCGACAGAAGACTCTCCTAAAGGCAGGCTACTATGCCCAGTCAAGAATCTTGCTGCAGAGCTAAACATATGTAATTTCTGATAAAGAACCAAGGTAAACACTTTTCTTGATGTCTATTTATGAAAGGAGATGGGGCAGAACAATTTACAAATGGAAAACTTTTGTTCAAGTCGAAAAAAACCTACCACTTTACATAGAAAGAGTATGAGAGTAACATCTGCTGATAACGTCATATTGAAAAGTTTTCTTCCAAATTCTTTCTGTGACAGTACCAAGATAGTATATTGATAAAAAAAAAGCAAGAATGTCTTTTCTATTATACATAGTACTGAACCCATCTAATAGCTACACTTGTGCTCAGAGTGTACTTCACAGCTCCTTCAAATTCTGTGACATATTTTCAATCCATCACACATACATACGTGCACACAAACCTGGCTGTTGTGCTTGCTTCTCAAACCGCTGCTTTTCTTCTCTGGCTTTGTCCTCTGGATTAACAGGATTCCCGGATTCATCCCGAGGGATTATCTTTCCATGGAAAGGGCACTTCAGGAAGAAAAATGATGCTTTTGAATAATTCCTCATAATCCTGCATTACTGGTAACTAGTCCCTGGAATTAAGTAATATACTTTGTCCCAGCATATTAGACCTGATTCTGCAGCACTGGCAGCCTTCAACTCCCACTGAAATAAAAAGACATTTGTGGGAGTTGAGGATGCTCAGAACCTCATAGGATCAAGCCCTTAACAACCTGAAATCAAAGATCAAAGTATGAAATAATTTGTTTTTCACCAGTTACTTTGCTATGTCAACTCTGCAACCTCAGTTTTTAATTATGCAATTGTATATTCAAAGCTAAATCCTTAGCATGCAGGATTTTAAATCCCATTTTAAATATCTGAACACATTCACACCATTTAACACTGTAATATTACAACAAGATGTTTAATGCTAAGGAAGTATACTACTGTTCATTTAGCCCTATGTTTTGTCGAATTAGACTTTCATATAATCTTGAGAGCTCCTCTCCCGGCTTTTCCCACAAAACTAACTGCATGGAATGAAGAAAAGGAAGAATCACTCAGAAGCAAGACTGGTCTCTGATGCCTTGTCAGGTAACTCAGATGCTTCGGTGATAAACGTAAATAGTTAGCTAAGACCAATATAAACACTAGTTCTAATAACGAACCTTAAAAGTACTAACGACTAACCTTTTCTTCATCACAGCTGCTCCTCAACTATTTGTTAAACAGTCCCTGAAATGTTTCTCATGCAGATGTAACTTTTTTGGAACACACAATAAATATCCTGCTACTAACTAGCTAGAAATGACTAAACAAAAATGAAGTTTACCAACCTAGTTTGTTATCCAAACGAAGAGGGTAGCAAAAAGTAAACACACAGTGAAAAGGGAAGATAAAAATTTTAAATGATATGTTTTTATTCTCTAAGCTTTTACTTGTAACAGGGATAAAGAAACCTGTATTACAAAAAAAAATTAATATTTAATGTGATATCCTTTAAATAAAAAGAATGTCTCCCCATTAATAAAGAATGGAGTTCTTTCACAGTGGACCACAGCCATTTAAATAAAAAAATACAGTTTCTCTCATGGGAAGAAATGTTTGTTTGTTTTTTTTATAGTTTCATAGTTTCTAGGGTCGAAAGGGACCTGAGCAGATCATCTAGTCCGACCCCCTGCCATGGCAGGAAGAGCACTGGGGTCAAATGACCCCAATAAGGTGGTCATCCAACCTCCTCTTAAAAACCCCCAGGGTGGGAGCCTGCACCACCTCCCTTGGAAGCTGGTTCCAGACTCTAGCCGCCCTGACCGTGAAGTAGCGCCTCCTGATGTCCAGCTTAAACCTTCCCTCCGCCAGCTTGTGACCATTGTTCCTGGTCACTCCTTGCGGCGCTCGGGGGAACAGGGACTCCCCCAGCGCCTGCTGATCCCCCCTAACCAGTTTATAACAGGCCACAAGATCCCCCCTCAGCCTTCTCTTTTGAAGGCTGAACAGGTTCAGGTCCCGCAACCTTTCCTCATAGGACCTACCCTGCTGTCCCTTAGTCATACGAGTGGCCCTCCTCTGGACCCTCTCCATGCTGTCCACATCCCTCTTAAAGTGTGGCGCCCAGAACTGGACGGAGTACTGCAAATGCCGCCGGTCGAGTGCTGCACAGAGGGGGAGGATCACCTCCTTGGACCTGCTCGAGATGCATCTGTGGATGCATGACAAGGTGCAGTTGGCCTTCCTAGCCGCCTCCCCACATTGCCGACTCATGTTCATATGCAAGTTCAAGTTGCCCTGTTGAGCAAACCAAGATCAGATCTCTCCAAATATGAATTCTCACTTCTTAGCCTAGTTTCCAATGACATCTCAACACCTGAACAATGAAATCCTGTCTACACATTGCATATTAAGGAATTTATGTTATTGGGTGCCTACCTTAATCCTATCTTGTCTTTCACATAGACTTCCATCAGGCATTGGCGCTCGGCATTTATGTTTCACTGGTTCAAACTTGCCAGCAAATGTTATATATCTGGTTTTTAACATTTCGGATACTTCTTTATTTTCCACCTCTTCCTCCAAATCACTGGGGGCCCAAAACCGATGCTGAGAGGAAAATCTAGTGGAAAAAAAAGAACATAGATACTTAGCTTTTCTATTCACAGGCCAATCCTGTCTTTGAGATCAGTACGTAGAAGTGCAGAAAAAAGGGATTTCAGCCCTTAAAAACAATTCCTCTTTCAAAGTTTTTCTTCCTTATATATAGGGACCGCTGCAACTTAGGCTTCACGAGATTTCAGGGGAAAGCATGAAATTTAGTGTTTCCCCCAAAGCCCTGGAAAACTGATTTGGCTGGAAATGGCCTGAAACCATGGGGGAGAGGGAGTGCGGGGAAAGAAGTGAAAAACTTACCTGAAGCATGGAGAAGAGGGCAGCAGAGCCCTGGAAACACTGTGGAAGTCCCATGTGTTTCCAGGGGCAGACTAATACAGGCTGAGCCCCTGAACAGCTCAAAACACCTGAAAGTGGCTCCAGCGAGTGTGTAGGGAGCTCACTTTCTGCCCCCAGCCAGAGCCTGAATTAGTGGTGGTCCCTACTCATGTACACAAATATGTTCATGAGTTATACAAACCCAGAGCTCTGCAATTCTCAGTGATGGCTGCTATATTGTGACGATTTTTTAAACTGTCATGGAAGCCTGACTGGCATCTCTGTTTACCAAAACAACCCGCTGACCTCCATTTCTTAATACTTTCACCTAGCAAAATTTTAGTTCTACTTGCCACCACTTAGATGTTAAAGTGGACCAAAACCCAATTAAAGTATATAACTCTGTAATTAATACTCCCCTCCTCTAAACAACTGTCCAAATGAAGCAGAGCAAAGGCAGAGATGAACAGTGAGTATTTCTGCTCCTTTAACCTGTAGCAGCAAGGAAGTGGCTGGTAAAGCTACAATAACCGGAAATATATATTACTTACCAGATAATGGAGTAAATACTCAAATTCACATTGCATCAAGTTTTATTCTAGGTTTAGTTCATTTCTACACTGCTAACACCACTTACATAGTTAGGAAGTGCTTGGATGTTCTTTTGCTAAACTAAAAGCAAAACAGTGAAAATGTACTTTAAAACTAGAGAGTTTTCACCTAAATTTACAGTTATTTTATGAGAAGTAGAAATACTCTCACACGCACAAAAATGGCAGTGACCTGAAGCAAAGATGGTATAGTTCTTATTAAAGACAGGTGGAACAGAGACCCTTGAAATACAAAGCTAAAGGTTAGGCATTAGCAAGATGGAGACACTGAGTGAAGGAAATCTGGATAAGGACTTTGTCTGCACGGTGTTAAGGCTTGGGCAGCTGGCATGCACCTTCCCGTGCGAGTTTCTCCTTCCCAGTTACTCCCAGATTGGCCTCTAGGCTCCTTGTGTACCCACGTCCCATTCCACTCATTCACATGGCCCCTTGTCTATAGTCCTTCAGTAATGAGGCCCTGCATACTTTGTTGCCTCCAGCAAAAAACACTTATTAATAAAACTAAGCTCTTGATTTCGCAGAGCATACCAGCAAGTGCTTAAGTCTTAGCAAAGTCACTATGCTGAAACTTTTTGTTGAATTTGGCATAAGTGACTCCTCAAACAACATTAAAACAAATTTGAAGGACCTCCACCCAATCTCATATCAACTTCCAGAAAGTGTAATTTCATTGGTTTTAGTGAAATTACTTTCCATTTAAATTAAATTAGGCTGAGTTATTAAAGTAAACAGTATGTTAGTAAGTACTAATTAGTGTGTGCCAAAACATTTTTTAAAATTCAGTAAGTAAAATCATTCTTTTTTTTTTTGTTTTTGTTTTTTAACGTTCCTATCTAGCAAGCTCCTTGGTTAGACTTGCCTCATGTGTTCTGGAAAAGTTCTACCCTGGCATACAGGGAGTAATGGAATTTTGGCAAAATTAGGAGGATGGGGGTCAAAACCAAATTTATAACCAAAGGCTTGCTTCAATATTAACTGCAGTAAGGTGAGTGTCTCTCTCAAATTTGCCATGGTAAAAAAAACAATCTTTGTAAACACTAGCGAAAAAAAAAGAATAGTACAACAAAATACCATTAAATACCATTTAAATATAAAAACAGTACTTTCATGAAATTATTAAACAATACAGTGTTTTTGCAAGTGATGTGGTAGAGTTGTAAACTGATGGCTATAAAGATATGAGAGTCTGGTTCACTCTTCTGTTTTTCATTTAAATACATTCTCTAAAATAGGACTGACTCCAGGCTGCACATCAACAATCTTAAAGACATAAGGAAGTGACAGGATACCTAAAAAAGCACCATTACTAGTATTTTAGTTTGATATGCACAAAGTAGTCTTACATGATCTTCCAGTAAAATTCTAATGCCCCCTGGTGGTTTGATCTTTTTTCTCTCAAATTATAAAGCCTGAATCCATGCAAGAAAAGTTCTCTTCCTTCTTATAGAGGACAAGTGTTATTTGATATTTTAACACATTATTGAAAAAAAAGATGAAAAAAATACACGTCTGGTGTATTCTAATGTAATCAAAATGTTGGTTTTCCTTTTTATAGTTTTCCTAAAGATAGTACATTTCAGGAAGCTGAGTTTAAAAAGGGGCTGATGATCTTCATAACCACTGCAGTTTGATGATGCCTATACGAATCATTTTACCCTAACTATATTTGCAGGCGAGTGAGAAAAAAAGAAAACAGTGCTTAACACAGTTATTCTGCTCTGATGCCTGTCCCTGTGTTCAAGGTGGCAATGGGACTCAAATGTTCTGCCGCACATCACTTTGTCAGAGAGATCCTTTTGAAGACCGATCTTGACACTGAAACCCAACTGCAGATCCTTTTTCACAAATGCTTGATTATTAGTATTAGTTGAACATGAGGCACACAATGGAAATAAACTCGTTTCAGTGCAGAGAGTACCAAAGACGAGCTATATCCACTTGTACTCCAATCTTGTAACTGCTGTTTATGTCCTCTTTTCTAGTGAGCAGGATTTTAGTTATTAGCAGCAAATCTCACTACTGTGGGACACCCTCCTTTCCCTCCAAGCCCTCTTTGCAGGGTATGTGGTAGTTTTAGTTCAGCTGTCCTATGTTTTCAGTACCCTCCCAATGTTGTTGTTGTTAGCAAATTAAACCACAGGTTTATATGGTAAACAATAAAACTAAAGCCTAGCTCTTCTAATCAACCTGAGAAAGCACTTAACCACACAAGTAATCCCATTGACTTCAACAGGTTCACTCCCATGATTAAAGTTTAGCTTGTGCTTGCCTGCTTTGTTGGATCACAGCCTTGATTTCCTATGCAAGAACCCAAACAGAGAGAAAGGAACAGGCAAGAATAAGTGAAACGTTCCAGGGCGCTGGTGATCACAAGTGGAATAGAAGTAGCTGCACAAAGCAGCTGGAAGACTAGTAGGATTAATAGTCTGAGAACCACTAAGAGACGGTCTGGTTCTGATCCAGGCATACGACCATTAACGGAAGCTTCAATTACAGAAGCAAGAAGAAATAACTGAGGCGCGGAGAGAATCCACACCCAGAAGAGGCAGCTACAGGACAAGTGACATCACTTGACAAATGTTTTAGAACTTTGGATGCCTATACGTGTAATTACAGTGCAACGGAGCAGGTTTGATTAATCAAGTCTGCTGGAGCGTGGTAATTACCATGCTCCAGCAGACTCCAGCATCTCATGTATCAGCATCCCCACGCTTAAAAATGGCAACGGGGGCACTTTAACTAAAACTTGTTTGACGACCTTTAGTTAAAAATGGCTGGAGCACTTTAAGTGCAGGGATGCTGATACACAAGTCGCTCTGGGCACTTTAATAAGACCAGCTGTCAGTGCCAGTCTAATTAAAGCACTCCTCCCCACACACACACACTCCCCAAAGCGTGTATAAATGCCCTTTGTTACTAAAGATGAGTGCCCTATACAGATCTCAGATGGAGCAGGTACTTACGTTATACTGCTTACATCATATACCACTGAGAAAGTGCATTAGGACCTTCATACAGCAAAGGACAGATTCCTTAAAACAATGATACATGCTGTTGTTACTGGACTAAAAACAGCTGGCACGGTTAAAAAGTACAACCCAACCTTTTTATAGATTCCACTGTAAGTTTCCTTGAGAGTTTACTGAACACCAGCAGCTGACTATATGTTCATTAAAAAATTAGCTTTCTAATAACTACCCTGTAACAACTCTGAAAACCTTGATCCCCAAAATAGTGTTATAAAACAGGTGCAGTGTAGAACAGCTGAAGTGTGAATATTTTTACCTCAAGATTAAAAAAAATTCAAATTTAGTTTTCCTGGACTTCAGGAAGGCTTTTGACACTGTCTCTCACCCCATTCTCATTAGGAAGTTGGGGGACTGTGGCGTAGACACCCATACAGTCCAATGGGTCACCAACTGGCTAGAGAGTCGCACCCA